GTCCTGGTGGGGGGGGGGGGAAAGGAAGGAAGGGGGGAGAGAGGAGATATGCGGGGTATGAATACAAGCAGGGGCAGCGGCTCAGCTCATAGCCCTCTTGGCCTCCTCCCCTCCTGCGCACCTCTTTTTCCGTCTCCTGCTTCTCCTCCTCTTCCTCCTCCTCCTCGGGCTCAGGCCGCCCCGCCCGGGCGCCCGTGGCCTCCCGCGAGGACGAGCTGATGCTCTGAACCTCCTCCCCCTGCAGACGGGAGGGTAGAGGGGGTAGGGGGGGCAGGGGGGAAAGCGATGGAATGCAAATGGGTCCGCGGGGGGGGAGGGCCGGTGGGGAAGCTGGGGGAGAGACAGGAAGAACGAGTACATGTGGCAATAACCCTTCCCAATACACAAAAAGGGAGGGAGAGAAAAACGTGGCGCAGGCTCTCCCTTCCCCTTCCGCCGCCTCCCACCTTCCTTTCGCCAACCCCTCCCTCCCCCCTCTCCCCTCCCACTGACCAATCCCTGCCCGTACCCCAACCCCCCAACCCCGGGCGCCGCCGGCAGTTCTTATATCTGGTTATCCTTGCATGTGATTCACCCCACCTCCCTACCCGCCCCAACCCGCACTCACGTCCTTGTTGTACATGATGAGGTTGAACTCGGGCACGGGCTCCTCCGGCGGGTCCTCCCCCTCCTCCGCCGGCGGGGGGGGCGGCCAGAACGTCCAGCTGAGGTCCAGTCGGAGCTTGGTGACGGGTACGGCAGCGGTGGGGTCCTGTCGGCCCGCGGAGGCGTCCGTCAGCGCCTGGTCCTGCCACTGCCGCGTGATGGGGACCTGGGGGGGGGAGCGGTGAAGCGGGGGAAGGGTCGGGGAAAACATGCTTGATGCGCAGCAGTCCTAGTGCACCTGACGGGCGGCGAGGAGATGCCCGTCAATTAACCCCCTCCCCCTCCCCCACCCCTTTTTACTCCCGGCCCCTTCCCCCGGGGGCCTCCCCCTTCCTTTCCCTCCTTCTTTTCTCCGGTCGCCAACCAACCACCCCCATTCATAAGCGGCTTTCTTTCTTTTACGACCCCTCCTAGGTTCCCCTTGGCACGCCCCTACCAGCTCCGCTCCTTCCCCCCTCCCCTGCTTTGATCAGGGTTTCAGCTCTTATCCAGCGACAGGCAGACAGACAGACGGACAAACAGCACCTACCCGCTCATTTTCATCAAGCACCATGTTATCCGCCGCATCCAGAGCTACGCCGAACTTGTCACGCAAGTCCAGAATGGCGCGCTTCATTTCCGGGATGACCAAGCCCGGGGAGTCGTACGGCAGGCACGTACCCACATCTCGCAGAGTCCAGCCACCCTCGGCCTGCGAAACGGAGGCAGGGCAGGGTGGGGGGAAATTGTATGAGGCAAAAAGCAAGGAGGGGTTAACTGACAGACAGACAGACAGAGTACCAACATGGCCTCTAAAGGCGGAATCTCAAGCGGAGAAAAAAGGCGGGAGCGGTGCAGTGGACGCAAGCTGAGACCTGGACTTGAGAGGGGACGCAGGACGGGAGGCGTGTGCGCAACCTGGGTTTGGTGGGACGAGCACAGCCGTGACGGGGAGGCACGCGGGCCACCTGCGGCTGCCCACCAGCCCACCTACCCCGTGTGTCCGTATGTGTGTGTTCGTACCCTATCTCGGGGGTTCTCTTGAGCAGTGTGAGGATAAGAACTGCTTAAAAGCCGCACACCTCTCTCCGCTAACCCGCCAAGAAGGATCCTCTCTCCAGCACGGACCAGACCCAATGCCAGAGAGAACTCGAGCTCCCAACTTCGGCCTCATCCCCCTTCCCTCCCTCCCCCCCTCCCCCCCCTACCTGCAGGTACATGACCGCCACAATGATGGAGGACACCTGCCCCTCGGGGGCCCCAGCCGGGAGGGTCAGGGACTTGATGTCGAAAGACTGGTTGAAGGCCTGACCCGACACGTCTGTTTGTGCGTGTGTGTGTATGTGTATGTACGTCAGTGCGGGGAAAGGCGGGGTCGGGGGAGGCACTGGTGAGAGGCTCGACGTCGAGAAGCAAACGTTAGCCGACTTCAGCTGATTTTGGTATTATCAGCTGGTGGAGGGGGGCCCGCGTGTTTAGGAATTGAGTGGTCCGCGCCGCTTCCCCACTTGGACCCCCGGACTGACCGACTGACCTACTGACCGACCGCGGGGTTTCACCCGAGTCACACAGAACTGGCCGGCCTTAGAGCACACGCGCATACATACGAGCGCACAGTCCTGATCTGGGTGTGCGTGCGCGGATGTGTTTGTACACCTCGTGGAGTTGCGTTACTTGTTGACTTGGGTGTACGAGCCGGGAGGGGGCCCCACCCTAGGGCCCTGGGGGGGCTGAAGGCTGTCCGAGGTAAATGTATGTCACCTCAGGCTGCACGCATCCCCGCCGCGTACCACCCCCTTGGGGGCCCCCTCCCCTCCCCTCGCCCGAATTAGAAGGACGAGACCCCCCTCCTCCCACCACTCCCCCAACCCCATCCCGGTGACTGGGAGCGAGGCCGGGGACGGGCAAAGTTCCGTGCTGGGATGCGCCACCTTGCTGGCGGGATAGGTAGACGGATGATAAGGGAACTGTGGGAATGGGCACGTGTGTTACGGATGTGTACCTGTGTAGGAGACCGCGAATTCCAGTTTGCTGCTGCTGCTGAGGTCGTGCTTCTTGCCGGGAATCTCCGGCGCGCTGGCCACGAACACAAGCACTTCCACCTGGCGCTCAAACATCTTTGGAAACATGTAGATGACATCGTCACCCTCCACCGGGACCGTTTCCTCCGGCAACGCTTGCTTCTCAAAGCCCTTTACCAGAGCGCCATCAAGGGCCGTGGGCTTCCGGACATGGAGCGTATCATGTACGTTTCCCTTGACGTCTGCGGGTTGGAGTGACATACAATATAAAGTCTGGACATATGAAATTAGCCAGGAAATGTATACGCCGTTACGCGCGCCAGACCCATGCATGCGTAAACCCCAGTGCTTTATCGTGGGAATGCTCACCGAAGGCCACGCATGCCAAGTCGAAGTTAAGCTTCTCCTCTGGGCTCGAGTTGAAGTTAATAGCGAAACTGCGAAGCGGGCGCAGACAAAATATTGTTTGCCAATTCCACCGCTTAAGCGAAGCCTGTATTCAGGGTAAAATTCAGATGAAAGTTCTAGAACATTACCTATATTGATCGCCCCTAAAGGGCAGAACAAAAGGTCCAAGCGGCATTTTGCTTTCCCTGCAATTAAGTTACTTCAGCATCTGATCACTTCAGCGCAGCAAAAGCTACACAGATATAAGCGTCGATATTGCAAAATGGAGTTCCTCGAAAGTTTTCGCTCTAAGACCTGTACGCCGTACTCCCAAGCTCTAAAGCATGGCTTACATTAACATGGTAGCTTTGTTACGTGGATTGAGACTCATCAATTCGCGAAACAACTTTTCGCTTATTAAAGTAACTATTCCTTCTCTGCAACGAAGCAGTGCTGACTGCAGGGCTGCACTATCCCACGTCTATGGCACATGTTTAATGCCTACATAAGACTATATCACCATATATGCCACTTTGGCCATCCTTTCCCTGGGTTCCGCCAGGTCTGCCATTTTGCACACCTACACGGTGCCGATAGTCAGCCTCATCCTGCGGAAACACACCTGCAAATCATTTGTTGGGCAAACCTTTTCAACCTGCAGCTTGGATGCCACAGCAAGCTCCCCAGGTGCACCCCAAATATTCTCTCGCACACGGCCATTCAAGCGCACGCCCCCTTCACAAAGGCTCGCACGCATGTGCAAACGCTTGTAGGAATCCCAAACTTCTCAAATCACAACGCACGCAAACCACGCGCGCCGGCACAACTCTTTCCTCCCCATCCCTTGCCGCTCATTCGTAGTCGCCGTAGTCAATGTCGTCGCACACTGGATCCTCTCCCTCCACATCTTCCCCCGCCTCCTCCTCGTCCTCCACCTCCACCCCCTCCTTCGGGCTGTCGTTAATAATATGGTCGCTGAAAAGGTACGTCGTGAATTTGTCTCTCAGCCAGGACGACACGCCTTGCCAAATTGGATCCACGGAATCCGCGACGCTGGCTAGATGGGCCCACTGCATGATGCCGTCATCCACCGTACCACCCTCATGCTCGCCCTTGCCCTTGCCCTCGCCCTTGCCCTTGTCCTTATTTGCTGGGGGCCCTGAAGCGCCTTTAGCCAGGGTGCCATCGTCATCGTCGTCGTCGTCTTTGCCCTGTTGTCCCTCGACTGCTGCCTCCGCCGCAGCAGTCGCCGCAGCCGCCGCCTGCTGTTGCCTCTTGGCCTGCTCCTGCTTGGCTCGCGCTGCTGCTGCGCTGCCGTCGCAGCTGCACTTGATGGCTCCGTGGGTGTCGCACATGGTGGTGGTGTTGACCTGCGTCAAACCGCAAAAACACACACACACATACGCGCAAACACACACACGTTAACATGCCACTTAAGGATTTGTGTGTGTGTGCGTGTGTGTGTGTGTGTTATTATGTAATCACTCTTTATAAGCGCATGGATGCCGTTTTAGATTGGACCCCAGAACCTTGCCAAATCGTACAGATGTACATACGTGCAGATGTACAGGACATGCATCCGAACACCGAAGGGAAGGGTGCCCCCCCCCCGTACCCTAGCTAGCGAGGACCCCGCGAGGCAACTTTCCTAACACAGCAAAGGAGCTATGAGCTCTCCTCCGCGCCATAGCGGCAAAATTCAGTTCAATATCACAGCAGGTGTACATGAAAGGCAATTCCAACAAGCGGCTCATCCCGGCAATCCGACGGCCCAAGCGCGAGGAGGCCGTGCAGGCCGCCGTGCTAGAAAGCAGATCTCCGGCCCCCCTGCCGAACCATCCACCTCGAACAGCGCCCTGAGCTCGTCCTGGCTGAATGTCCTGCTCTGCGCGGCCGTGTCGTCCACCACGGCCGCACTGAGGCCCTGCTTGGCTAGCTGCCGCTGGTACACCTGGGAGGTGGTGTGGGAATTGTGGATGGGGTCGAGGGTTGGGGGGAAAGAGGCGAAGGAGAAAAGAAAATCGGAACCCCTCGGAGTTTAAGGACGGGCCTAGGTCAGTGCCGCGGAGCCTGTCGGGGCGAAGTGGGGGAGTGAAGGGCTGTGTCGGCATAAGGCGGCATACGGCGGCGGCATACGGCGGCGGCGAGACAGACAAGTGCAGTAGCACCCAAGCAGCTTACGTAACGACCAAGCAGCAGGACGGCCCCCGGGTGCTCTGTGGGCGAGATTGTGTGTTTGGTTGGAGAGAGGAGGGGGGAAGAGGGGGGGGGAGGGATGGAGGTGGTGCAGTCACGGCGGGCCCGTCCCACCCCGCCCGTCTCTCATCCTCATCCTCAACCCCACAATGTCGGGTATGTACGACATAGTCGTACCTTTTCCTCGATGGTTCCCGTGGTAAGCAGGCGGTATATCCAAACCTTCTTCTTCTGCCCCTGCCGCCAGACGCGAGCCATAGCCTGAAGGTCGTTGGCGGGGTTCCAATCTGCAATGCACCGCCGTACACAGAAGGGCAAGCGGACGGCCGCAGCAGCACCGGGAGGGGGTTCTCGGTGGGGAATCAAGGAGTAAACCCGGGTTTCGGGTTTCGGGGGGCCGGCGGCGGGGGAGGGGAAGACGAATCACCGACGAGTGCAGCTGATACCCGGGCTAGACAGCCTGATACCCAGCGGGAGGGGAGTTGAGAGGGGTAGAGGGGTTGGCCTGAGGGCAGCGATGGCCACACAGCTAGCCTGGGGGGTCAGGCAACAGCGATGTGGTTTAAGTGGCCGGTGGACGGGGTGGGGCAACTCCGCGGGCCCGGGGTGGGGTGGGGTGGGGTGGGGTGGAATACCCCCCGACCCGCGAGCTGCGGACCGGGCGGCGGCGGTGGCCCGCATCAGCCTGCTCCACCGGCGGCGACCTCGGCCCCCCCCCAAGGGTCCTAACCTGCCGGACAAGTCTCAGGAACTCGGGCCCCTGGCGCGTGTTGACGAGGGCAAGGTGACGACCTCCTGCAGGTGCTAACCATGCAGCTCTTGTCCCCCTCCTTACCCCTCCCC